TAAAATGTGAATAGATAATCCGATCACTATTTGAATTGAGATCGACATACATTTTAAGGATAAATTCTCGTGCAGCTTGTCCATCACGTTTAGGACCTAAAATTGAAAAGTGAAGTTTTTTAGTTATTAAATTAATGAATTTTACCCTCAAATTCTGGAAAATAATCGACCAAATGTGAATACATGATTTTTTCTTCAAGTAGATCTTTTTTGTTCAAAATAAGAATCACAGGAAAATTCCTATACCCTCGATTAGTTACAATTGTACGAAATAATGCTATACTCTCTTCCATTTGATTCTAAATTTTAGGGTTTTTATTTAACAGCAAAACATTCGCTTTATTTACTTCATTATCAGAGTCAACAAGAACATGATCGTATTCATCCAATGCGGCAAGAAATATTATCGCAAAGGCATTATCAAAGTAACGAATCCACTTTCGATGTTCTGATCTTCGTGCACCATTTTTAATAATTCTATTTTAATAAATAAATTTATTTTATATTAAAAATATATTATTTATTTACCGGAAAGTAATATTTTCAAAATCAAATGAATATTCAGTAATTCCATTAATAAGGATTCGAGCACATAGGATATCTTGGTCAGTTGATAAATAATCTGGTGCAGCAATTCGATCGATGCTATCCAAGTAACTTAACATGAAGAATTTTTTGATTTATTTATTTTATTAAAAAAACTGATTTTTACTATTTAGCTGAATCTATTAATTGATATTCTCTTCGTCTATCATAGCACTCTTTTATTCCTGGATCACTCCAAAGACTTTTAATAGCTTCAACATATTGAGGTTCTAATATTGTCACAGTTGTATAATCAACTGAACGGACAAGTGGAGCATATTTTTGCTAAAAGAAATAACAAAAAAAAACAAATGAGAATAGATAAAATATAAATCTAACCTCATTGTTTTTATCTCTGTATTGTATTTTGAGCGTATCCATAGCACGAATCATTGATTGCATTGCCATGAATATATTTTGATAAACAAATTTAACAAATGAACTTTTATCTTCTTCGGAATAACCTGTACCATAAATAATACGCATTTGTTTCATAAGTGTTGATTTACCAGATCCTTCAGCACCTATTTAAGAAAAAAAAATTTGTTTATTTTGAAACAAAATAAAAAATCGAAGTTTTGTACCAAATAACAGGAATATCAATTCTCGTCGTTGATTTTTTTTATCAAGAAGTAATTGTTTTTCAATTTCTCGATTTCTTTGTTTCTGTTCACGTGCTTTAGCAGACAAACAACACAGCATCTTGATGAAGTTTTTTTTTCTTTGTAAATATTTAATAAATTCGAGATGTAATGAATATGAACGATGATAGTAATGGTAACAATCTTTATTTAAATAGGATGTCGTTTTCAAACGTCCTACGATAAACTAAACACACCATATAATGATACTAATTTTAACTGCTTTTTACGTTCTCTGCTCGTCTTTTTATATGTATCGACTGTCCTTCGCCATACACAGCGATAGACAAGGTCTGAGCGCAAGGGACATGAAGGATAACATTATATATACATAAAGAATAGATAAGCGAAATATTTGGAGGATAGATAAACAGCATCTAACAAGGATGGATAAATAAAATATATGAACATGAGGCTAAACACTACCCAGGTTAACCAGTCTTATCCTGCAGATTCCTATAGTTTTTTATCGGATTTCTGGTGATGGAATCATATTGGGTTCCGTAGGATTACAGATCCGATCTGATCCTTTTAACTTGAACCGTTGATCTCCGATAGTAGGTCTCTGATCGGATTCTAGGAACCTGAACCAACAAAATCCGATATTGATATTAAAACGATTATTGCGATAAATAAAAACGAAGTGTTACATGTACGCTAAGCACTATACCAGTACTATTTAAGGGTGTGGGTGCGATTACAGGCATCTCTCACAACCGCATCTATATCCAACATCCACACCCATTCACCCACATCCCCACACATACCACACCCTTATCGGGACTTTTTCTAGATAGAAAAATTTTTATGAAACAATTTAAACGAGCATCATATTTCATGACATGTTTAAGATAGCTTGTGATTTCTCATCAAACGAGTGTCATATTCTCAAGGTCTGTACGTGTTACTAAAGCTGACGAGAATAAAGCAAATCAAAGCACGTTCGTCAATAATTTCTGTGTGTGTGATAGATATTAAAATGCATGTCAGACAAAAAAAAGAGTAATACAAAGATAGACGATGATTTATCTAATAGTTTTAATACTATGGCCAATGGTTTATACGAGTTTGAATCTATATGAAACAGATCGAAAGGTCGGTAATGAACAATTACAATTTGATTGCTTGTATTATCATGTAGATAATGAGACACGTCTTTATGATTGGCTACTGACTAATACAAGTCAGATTCTTAAGTATTGTCGTCGTCCTCTGAATGAAACCAGTATACCACGTCTTGATTTTCCCAATCAACATCAACATGTTGAAAACTATACATTTAAACAGTTGCGTCAGTCAAATACTACTATTAATGAACTAATTTCATGGAGCGCTTCCGTGGATCTTGCTGAACGATATTTCCTTTACATTGAACAATCGAACATTGATGATCCATCATCAAAAGAAATATTCTATCGATGCAAAGATCCGTGGTTTGGTCTTCGATGTGAGTACACGGCTGTTCATATATTAATCGACACAGATGATGACCCTAAGGAAAGTTTCTACGGGATAAATAACTGGTCTGTTAAAGACATGATTAATACTAACAGAGAGTCATCATGTTACGTTCATTTGACATGTGATCGCGGATCGCCTCTGTGTCTTGATTGGCGTGAAATATGCAATGGTCAAATCGATTGTATTGATGGCGGTGCCGATGAAGCACAATGTTTCCTTCTAGAAATAAACGAATGTGCTGATGATGAATATCGATGTCATAATGGCTTGTGTATTCCCTTAAATTTCTACAAAGATGACGAACAACATCCAGATTGTCTCGATCGTTCTGATGAGCCAACTAGTAGATCATCGTTTAGCTTTTGTTCCAAAGACCCAAGATTTCGATGCGAAGATCAAGTTTGTCGATCCAATGACATGAGCTTTTCTTGTGCTGATGGACAGTGTGTTAATAATTTTAAGAATTCATGTGTAAATGGACGAAACAACTTAGTAAAAATAGCCATGAAAGCAAAAGGAAATTTGTCTCACAGTTGTTCGTTATTTATAATTTGTCATACGTTAATGATCGATAAGATTAATGGAGACTTATGTGCAAATCTGTCTGTTTTATCCAACGCCAATAACTCTGATCTGTTCATTTGTGAATCATTATTTCAATTTCCAACTATTCCTGTCCTCTATGGACATGTACGTTTTCTGTACGACAACAATCAATCGAAACTAATACAAGCGGGCATAAATCTTATACTCCCTGATTACATTTGTTATGACGCACAGTTATGTGATTTTATTTCATTCACATTTCACTATCAAAATTTAACTTGTCGCCATCGTCAACAAATAGTCGAAGATACTAATCTTGGTTATGATGAGTTTTTACTATCTTTAAACAATTATTTTCGTCCTTGTGCAGCTCCGTATATAATGTCCAATGATGAACAATACATACAACATTCATCGCTCTATTGCTGCAAGAATTCATCAAAATGTATTTCGAAACATCGTCTCATGGATCGTGTACGAGATTGTCCGATGGACGATGATGAAAACTATGAACTGAGCTGTTCTTTACAAGATACGCATCGTTTCAAATGCTCCGACCAAGATACAACGTGTGGGTCGCCATCAGTCGATCCTAATTCTTGCAACGTATTTAATCAGAAACAAAACTTAAATGAAATACTTTTCCAAAACATCTGTGATGGAGTTGTTCATCTTTTACCTCGAGAAATCGATGGACAAAGCCATAGTGATGAAACAGAATGTCAGCATTGGCCATGTGATAATATCTACACGAGATGTGATAGTTTTAAGGCGTGTCCAGATGGTAGCGACGAGTATGATTGTCTGAACACTAAGTGTCCTTTAAATCTTTATCCATGCATCTCACCCATAAATTATACAATAATTTGTTTATTAATGGATCAAGTCGCTGATAATATTATCGATTGTCTTGGAGCAACAGATGAACTGCAGTATTGTTACATATCGCATGCTGAAACAAATGATCACTGCTGGAACTTTACTGATTGCATATCTCCTGATCAATTATGTGATCACTTCAGAAGTTGTCCTTCGCTCGTTCATAATAACTTTTGTCAAAGTCATGAGAAGATATGTCTGGATAGTTCGTATAGTATTGATGAAGCAAAAGATATATTCTGTTCATTAGCAGAGAACAAAAACACAATTAAATACTTTTCATTGAAGACCGCTCGCATCTATCCTCTATTGGAAGAATCTCTTTCTGCTGTTCAATTCAATCAACAACAAGTCAAACATCAGTCTTTTATGAAAAACATTCAATTTATCCCCGAGACTATAGGATGGATACGTCATTGTCCTCATGGACTGAGTGTTGTTGCCTGGCAAGGTGGTGACACCGTCATCAACCAATGCTTTTGTCCACCAAACTACTATGGTGATCTATGTGAGTATCAAAATCAACGAGTTAGTTTGACATTGCGTTTGCTGCCTGTTAGTCGACGCAGTTTTTATGCGTTTGTGGTGATATTGATTGATGAATATGGTCAAATTAACTCTTACGATCAGTTTTCATTCATAACTACATTAGGTTGCTTCAAGAAATTCAATATCTATCTGTTGTATTCCACTCGACCTAAAGATATATCGAAGAACTACAGCATACATATCGATGTCTTTGACAAATATACACTAGCATATCATGCGAGTTGGCATCTATTGATTCCATTTAGTTTTCTACCCGTAAATCGGATAGCTGCAAATCTGATTATACCATTTCAAAGCACTCGAAGTTTCAAAACTTGTCATTTGACATGTAAGAACGGCGGTGAATGCATGCAGTATATCAATGTAGAAATTTTTTTTTGTCACTGTTCTTCGAATTGGACGAGCACATTTTGTGATATATCTGTTGATTGTAATGATTGTTCAAATGATTCAGCGTGCGTAGGCTCATGGAACAGTCGATCTATATGTGTATGTCCTGATAACAAAATTGGTCCACGTTGTCTCATACCATATATTCGTCCAGCAGATAAGTGTAACAATAATGGTCAGTATGTATTACTCAACGACCATATCAACGATGACCGATACTTTTGTAGCTGTTTCGATCGATTTTACGGCATTTCATGTGAGCATGAAAAGAAGAAATTAGAGATTGTTTTCAGTAATATGGACGTTCCATCATACATTCTGAGCTATATTATTACTCGACGACCAGACGATTCATGGTTTACTGCAATTTCCATCAAAAAATTAATTCACGATCAACAAGTCGTTACATTGTATAATGCAGAGGACATTCATATGGCATTTATCAAACACTCATCTGATTATTATTTAGCTGTAATACAGGGTACATCTATGTATCATGAAAGTATCTTGACATTGATTACTCCTAATCAGCGTTGTTTACGTATCAATGAACTATTCAATTTGACTCTGTTAAGATTACCACGTATCCGACGCATAAAATACTATCATCTACCATGTCAAACTCGTTTAGATTTGTGGTGCTTTTCCGATGAAATGTACATGTGTGTGTGTACATCAGATAATCATACAAATTGTTTTGAATTCGATCATCAAATATCGTTTGCCTGCAAACACAACGATTTCTGTGACAATGGTGCATCATGTTTTCAAGATGATATCACTTGTCCATCTAGTACCATATGCATTTGTACCGATTGTTATTTCGGTACGCGATGTCAGTTCTATGCTAAAGGTTTTGGTTTGACACTTGATGATATTCTCCGTTATGAACTTCGACGTAATTTCTCATTGTCTCAACAACGAGTGTCAATAAAAACGAGTGCTATAGTGACAATGTTCATGTTCGTGCTAGGTCTGGTCAATGGAATTTTATCCTATTTCACCTTTCGTCGAGAACGATCACAGCAAGTTGGGTGTGGCATGTATTTATTTGCATCATCGATCACTTCAATTCTTATTATGATCATATTTATAGTCAAATTCTGGTTTCTGATTCTATCACAAATCGATTTAATCATCAATCGAACGATTCTTCAGTTGGGCTGTAAGTTGAT